ATTTGTCAATCTATATGTTGTCAATCTATCTTCCCGTTTTTTAAGAAGTCAGTATCTGCTCGTCTTCAATAATCCAGAACCTCATAGTTCACCATGCTTTCTTAAAGACCACCAAGAGTCCTGATACCACTCTACACTGAGAACCAGAGACTTGAGCATACTCCGATGTCTTGATATTTGGGTGTAATGGAGAAACATAGCAGTAACTCCCTAAGGGGGGCACCTAAATTTGTGGCCTGTTGAGTCATCACCAGTCTGTGAATCTGAGTGTAGGAAATTAAGATTGGTGGTCAGGGTAATTGAAACAGAGATGCTTTGGATCTTCAAGGCCAAGTCTGAGAGGGAGCCCTCAGCACAGCTGCCCTTTAGCATACTAAGTTACTTCTGAGCCCAAGGGTGAGAACAAGCCTAGCACACATTTCCAAAGAATTGGGACACATGCAGCAGCTGAACCTGAGAGCATTGTACAGCTGTAACCAATCCTACCAATCCTTTCCAGAGGCAGAATCTTGAGGTTAGAAAAGAACCTTCTAGATCTAGTCCAGAGGTTGTAAACTAATAGATCATTCACCAAAAGTAGCCACAGGTGTCTTATTTGCCTCTCCTTAATTATCTTTTTGAGTTCATATTTAAAATCATGAAGATTTGGCATAAAATTAGATTTTGCTCATCTTAAAAAATAAAAATCTGGCCAAATTATGTCCTTAAAACAAGAATCAGCCAAGGCCAATTAGTAGCTACCCTCTTTAGATATGCGGAACCGGCCAGACATTAGTATTTGTAAAGCCTGATTAAATCCAACCATTTCATTCCACAGATGAAGAAATTGGAGCTCTAAGAAACTATGTGACCTGTCTACATTGAATGGCAGTCAACATCAGAAGGCCAGGTGTCCTGACTTCAGTGATCTTCACTGACTACTGCTGATCTTTCCCCTAGAGAATCTGAGATACTGGGACATTACCTGCTTGCAGGCACTATGACAAGGAGAAACAAAACTGAGAACTAGGTCTTCTGCTTTTGCACCTACTACTGCATTCCCTTTGCTGGGCCAGAAATCCCCAGGGGCTGTAATCCACTAGGGAAGTTAAAACTAGCCAGAAACGCTAAAGTCCCAGCATTCTTCAGGCTGCTGACCACACCCACAGTCTAAACTATCTGTGCTCTTGGTACAAAGCACTGCACATTCCCAGCCCCCACAGATGCTCTCAGACCCAGCTGGGTTATGACCCAACATGCTGCTTTTTCCTTTGTTAATGGTCTTTCCCCTACCCACACAAGCAGTTAGGGAACAACAGCCTCCATGGGACATTGACTTGGGGGGGGAGGGAAGGTTACAGAGAGCTGTTACAGATGACAGGAGGTCATTGGGAGCTCTGAACTCTCTTCCTGGCTTTCTTCCCAAAACGTCAGATGGCTACGGCCATGGCGTTCAATTGCTTATAAAATGTGCCGACTCTGTCCAGATTGACATAGTTTTACACAAAGAATGCCCTAGCTATGCTCCCCTTGAGTGTTGTGACATTGATTTGTAAAAGTCTGAAATCTTTAGCTTAAATGGCCATCAATACATAGTATCATAGCTTCATTATACCTCAGGTCCTGGAACATCTTGTCTGAAACTGTCCAAGGGGATATTTGGTTCCCTTTGTATCTTGGAGATACCAATGACAAAATTATAGTCTGTGCAAGTAATTAGGATTGGAACTGCATGAGGAATGGAATAGTAGCAGGAGAACCATTCACATGAGATCATACTCTATAAAGGTAGTGGGGTTACAAAATCAAGATTGTCTTATTTAAGGACAGAGGAAAGCAGGTGGCAACTGAACTGGACTGAAGATGACAAGGCTGAATAGCTGAGTAGGTACTGAGTCAGAGATTCTGAGTTGTATGAAGAGCCAAAAGTATATACACTGTAAAAGGGCAAGTGCTCAAACATGCATAGTGTCAATGACAGTGGAAGCCGAAGAACTTGCCGAGGTCCGCCTTTGCCCTGCCAAGGATCCTGGAGCAACTCCTCCACATTTTCCTGAGGAACACTGTTGCCAGGAACCAGTAAGTATAGAGGCAAATTCTCCTCTGTGCTTCCCTCTGAGCAATGCATTTAAAAAATTCCCTAGAGCCTGTATCTGGCATAAATTAAGGTGTTACAGCCAAGTTCCAAGATTCATCAAAACCCAAGTCACACATCTATTCTGTTTGAGTCTATTGATCCTGGCCTCCTGGGAGCACAAATGAAGTATCAGGCTGTTGACTATGGTCAAGAGGACTTGTTACCCCTGAGAAAGATTTATTCTCATTGAGGCAGAGGAGATTCTTCTAGATGCATCATTTAGACTCCAATACTTTTCCTGCTTACTGCATATCCAGTGACTGTATTCTCTCAGAACTAAATGATGACAATACTCTATGAAATAGATTTTTACATGTGCTTTCTCTCTTTAACCTCCAAACCCCTTCAGAAGCTGAGTCTGTTGATGTTCTCAATGTTAAGTGGGAACTCAAGAAACAGGTTAGGCTCTACATAAGAGAAGAAAACTAGAGGTCAGAGAGGGAAGCAACTAGTCTCTTACACTTAGGACACGAAGAAACGCTGAATTAGGGCTGAGAGCCCTTTCACAACAGGCATGAACTCTCCAGCTCAGCACTACAACAGACTTGAGTGATAGGACCAGGAAACCCTTGGTAAGATGCTTTTGTAACTGCTTTGTCATTAGTGCACAGAATTCTGGTACCCACATTCAATGAGTCCAGGTTAATAATTTGGTTCTATGTAAGGCTCTTTGAGAAATGAACGCTGTAACCAGGAAAAGACCCAAATCTTCCTAATGTACCACTCGTCACTCAATTCAAAACCATGCAGTTTTTTAGTACCAGATCCTCACAAGGAAAGTACAACAGTGATGAGGAAATGTCAGCCTTTCCAACATGGCAGCGAGTAAAGGAGGAATCATCTTCATGTACATGGTGATTTGCAAAAGGATGCTCAGAAAAGCTTGTCAGTAAGATGTGGTCAGCAGTATTCATTAGCCCTTCACACCTGCAGGTTTAATGATTTGGTTAGTTCTTTATTTTCCTTCCTGCTCGAAGCTACTGCCTCCATAGCTATCAAGGCTGGAGTCTAAACAGAGGCTGTCACAGGACCAAGCTCCTCCCTCCCCCACTATGCTTTTTCATTTTAAGTCTCTGCCTCAGAGTCTCACTTCCTGTACGGTGGAGTTCAAGTGTCTACTCAAGAGATCTCCTAATGGGTAACAACTATAAACTCTTGACAAAATACAAAAAACTACCTGAAGGAATTGGTCACTAAACACAAAAGCAGGCGAATTCTGGAGAAAGGTTTAAGCTTGGAAGAAGAAAGTGGCACAAGGTGAGTTCCCATTTTTATGGCTTTTAGGCTGATAGGCTGGTTGAAGAATCAGAGCAACCACAGCTTCTGGAACGTGAGGGGAGAAATCTTAGAAGAGAGCCAAAGAAAGAGAGCCCCAAATTCTGTGCATAAACTCTACCTACATCTCTGGCCAACCCCTGAACCATACATACATGGGACATAACTCCAGCTAAAGAGTCCCATGAAGGTAAATGCCTGCTAACAAATGGAAAAAAAAAAAAATCAGTACTCTTCAGAGAAATATAACAGAATGCACAACATAATCATTTACAACATTCAGGATACAATCTAAAATTATTCAACATTTGAAAAACCAGAAGACATGACTCTTTTTCTAGAGAAAAGACAAACAGTAGAGCCCAGATTTAAGATGATTTATATGCTGGATTTAGCAGCAAAGAATTTTTCAAAATAGTTATTACAAGTATGTTCAATGAAGTAAAGAAAAGCATGTGTAAAATGAATAAAAACAGGAATGCTACAGACAAATATGAAGCAGTTATTATCAGTAACCCATCGTTACTGATGTTCTGATGAAAAGTGAGATGCTAATTAGAAAACAACTCATATTCAAAAGTACTTCTGCTCAGTTGGAGATTTTTTGTTTCAAATGACTTTTATTTGTATCAAAACTAAATTGAAAATTGCTTACTGGCATGATAGGTCGTTTTTGCTCTTTAGGAGACTTGACTGGAGAGGGAGAAAGAATTCAGAGAAGTATGGAGGGAGAGATTTTGTGTAGAGATATTTTCACTTGGTGAGGAGGTAAAGGACAGAGCTTTTCTGTCTGGGATTCCTGATATTCAACACCAGTCCTGCTATTAGTTCTTACATGGGTCAATTTTTTCTTTCTTTCAAAAGGCAGGACACATGCTATGAAATACTCTTGCCAGGCATCTAAAGGAGGCAGCCTACAGAAAAAAGGAAGTATTTTTATAAGGAGGAAAGTGATGTTCAGAGAGAGAGCTTGGAGAGCATCAAAGTCCTGTCTTCTGAAGTGACACTAACGTGGAATTACTAAAAGGAATTATTTGGAAGAGATAACCCAAGTCCATTTTGGGTCTTGCACTGGTTCTTCTCTCCTTTGTTCATGGAATTCTACATCCTGTGAACTTGTATTTTAGAAACAAAGTCAGTTTCCCAACCCCAAAGATTCCTGGTACTCTCAAAAGCAGGATATGATAGAAAAGGTCACAAATTCGTTCCTGGAAAAAACAAAGGACACAACTCACTAAAAGTGACAACAGCGACAGTAAGGAAGGTTACCAATAAGCCTGAAGTTACTAGTTTTGGAAATGGAGGTGACAGTTCCTCTGAGGGCAAGGAGTAGGATTATTTAATTCAAAGCAAACAAATAAACAATGTCCAAAATAAGAGAATAAAAGCTCCCAAAGAGTGCTCTTAGTAACCCTGCAATGTGCACCAACTATATTGTTTTCAGTGTTAAAAGGGAGCAATAACTCTGAACTAAAACCTGATTACCCGATCAGCAACAGAAAAAAAAAGGCAGAATAACTATAAGACTCCTATTTCTATCATAGTTTTTCCACTATAAAGCAGACCATCACATCATCCAATGATGTAAAAGTCTAGACACTTTACAAAATTCCTCTTTTTAAAATTTATTTTTTGTTATCAAAGAGAATGTCCAGAAACACGGAGTACTAAAGAATCTGTTCATGGCATTGTTTTATAAAAGTTCCTGATGGAGTGGAGATATTTTATTTTGATGTATTTTCCTTCATTATTAGAGGTGAAGTAAATGGACTTAGGCAATTACTTAAAAAAAATTCCAGACAAGAACATCCATTCTCATTCTGAATCTGCTGACTGGAGTGAATTCAGTGGTTACAATAGCACCACTGGCTAAGAACCCACCTCCCCACATAGGGAGCTGTTCAAGTCTTCCCCTTAGGCCACAGGTCTCTCAGAGATAGGCACCATGTTTGAAGTCTCACACAAATGTCTGTGTCACTTAAATTACTCAATGTGGCAGTGTTTTTCTCATGGAGACATAATCTTGAAAGAAAGGGCAAAGTAGAAAACAACATCTTTGCATGTTATATGTGAGTACAGTGGACTGTGCAGGGGTTCTGGGCATTGTAGCCCTTGTTAAAGAGCAATTCCACCAACAAAGCATCTGTCAGTTCTCAGCTGCTCCTGGTGCTGAGGGTGTCTACTCATTTAACCGTGTGTTGTTAGGTCAGGGACTTCTTCACCCACTGTTTGGCTCAAACGGCTGGAACTGAGTTTGGTTGTCCTTCTGCATCTTCAGCTTTATTCCTCGGCCTCAGGATATGTAGGGTACTTGACTGTTTCTATCTTCTCTCGGACTTTGTAGGAGGGATAGAGGCCCGTCCTCCCCAGTTTCCTGTTGACGCCTTTAGAATAGCCATCCCAGTGATTGCCAGCCACACCAATGATATCTCCAGGTTCCATGGGAATTTCATCTGCAGTTCGAGGTTGGTGAGGATAAATGGCAACCTGGTTGTGGGCATTTTGGCCCCCAAAATAGTAGATGTCATCCAAAGAATGGAAGTTTGCAGAGGCATCAGGATGCAACGTTTGCATGATTTCATAAGCGACTCGACAGACCTTGGGAAGGAATGAAAAAAAATTGTTAGTATATGTAAGATCCCCCTCAGAGCAATCTGAAAGCCTGTGGCCAAAGAGACCAGAATTAGACTAGGACTAGAACAGAGAGGATGAGACATAGTAGATTCTAGTCACAAGTTTTCAGTCCATTTGCTCTCAGGTGATGGTATAGCACACATCACTCTTCATCTCTGTGCTTGTATCTTCAACATAAAAGATTATTACAGTTAAGGTCTCTGGGAGAAAAAAATATATAGCACAAAGTACTTTAAGAATATGAATCAGTTAATTTTAATAAACATTTATTAAGAGCCACACCATACTCCATGCTGGGCACTGGTGGTACAAAAACGAGTAAGACATAGTTTGTGCCCTTGAAGAATTTAAGGTTTAGATTAGGATTATAAACACTTTACAAAACTGCTGCTCCCTTTCCTTCATTCAGTGTTAATTAACCACATACTCTGCTAATTTGGACTTTGTCTCAGGACTCCTCTCATGAAGTTCATGTAATTACTGACAATCAATTAGAACTGGCAAGTGAGCTAAAACATGCCTACCATTTCTATTCTAAAGAGTGTTAAGTGTGCTGTGTAGATAGTAGCATTCTAGGACTGAAATAAGATGGACTAGCCTTTGGGGAAGATGCATCTACCTGATGCATTTAAGGCTACTTAAAAGATTCCTCTGTCCAAAGGATATCTACCATGCCCACTGGATGGGTGGCAGCTGAAATTCCACAACCTGAGCTTCATTCCTTGAGCTTAATGCTTGGTGATTAATTATAACTATCTTCATGGAGGTATAACATTTTAAGCAATTAATAAATACATTTATTACAGCACAAATAGGTCGCAGAAACTCTTCTAAGAATAGGTGAAGAAAGAAAAGAAATACTATCATTTTGCTAATACTATCCTTCCAATATACTCTGTGAACAGAGAACTCAATGCAGGTCAAATTTTCCTAAATCTCCAGTTGTGGTTATCTCAGTTAATGGTGTTTTATTGTCCCTATACCAACAGACATAGAAGTAGACACAGAACCAAGACAATGACTTTGCATTGGAGTCTGTTACTTCAGCAACAAACTCATTTCATATTGGGAATGTCATGGTACAATTGAGAATACTGGTAGAATACTGAGACTACAATAAAATAAGCTCAAAAAGATTTGGAACTTGAACTTTAAATTCAGCCAAAGGCCCACACAGGGCAGGCAGAATCAAATGGAGACTCTGGAAAGGAAGAAGTTAAATAATTAAAACAAAGCAGCTCTAATAGTAGCAAAGTTACAATAACAATGACAGAGGCTAATATTTAATTAGTTTTTGCTGTCAGATATTGTTTTTAGGTATTATCTAATTTAATCCCCTCAGAAGCCCTATACAATTCTATAATGTTCATTTTACAGATGTCAAAGGTCAATTAAGAAATTTGCCCAAGGTTACACTATTATTAAGTGATAGATTCAGGTTCTGAACACAGGCTGTCTGTATATGCTTGTTTGCTGCTAAGCATATTTTCTCTTATAGACTCCGTTCTGTGTGTTCAGATTGCAAAACCAGAAAGATAAAACATAAGGCCACGGCCAGCCTTGGGCAAGCCTGAGAGTCTTCTTTTCAGGGCCTGTCCACACGCTCTTCAATCATCTCTAGCCAGAAATGCATGACCCTGTATTGACTGCCCTTGGGATGACCACAACGCCCACTGGAGATGAACCCTAATGTATTTCCTTCTCTCCACTATTAAATATCTCACTCTCATAGAAACAACATTACCCTCAGTCCCACACCCTAGAAACCTTCTTTTGGGGAAATAATCCTAATTATCAGTTTATGTTTTGGTATCAATAGTTGCTGATGTGTTGTTAGTCTGCTGTATGACACATGTACTTTCTTAAGCCAAAGCAGTAACGAATGACAGAAATTTCAGACACTGATAAGGTCCTTTGTTCTTCTCATAATGGTGATAATGACAGCAGCTGAGCTTAATGAGCACTGATTATGGTCCAGGTGCTGTTTAATAGTGTGCTTGCGTGCAACTGTATCAACTCAGAAACTCACAAGAACCCTATGAGGTGGCTACTATTATTATTCACATTTTACAGTTGAAGAAACTATGCCACAGAAAGGTTAAGTAAATTTCTGAAACGTAAAAAAAAAAAAAAAAAAGGCAAAGCAAATAAAAAAGGAGCTAGTAATTGGCAGAGCTACAATTAGTATTCTCTCTGGCTCTCAACCACACACTAAATTGCCTTAGGATAAGTACCTAGAGCAGTGCCTGCCACATAGTGGGCACTCAATAAGTTTCTGTTGAATGAATACTGCTCCATGCATAATATCAGCCCAGCAGTGGAGATGCAAGTCCACAGGGGATATTTAATACCTAAGATTCATATATAACACTGAGTAATTACATTGTTTTCTTTATATTAACCATGGGACAATTTACTGCAAAAAGCTACAAAGATTACTATAATGTTGATGTTGGCATTTAATCACCCGAGGCTTCCTCTCTGGGCTTTACCAATCCAAATCATGTGGCAGGCAAATGAGGGCTTTCACCTGATCAATACTCAGGTTTGACAGGTAGCATGACTGAGAGGGACAAACCCTTTAGTTTGCAAAGCAGTGGCTGGTCGCATCTTGTATGTTTTATTTCATTCTCTTTTGACATGGCATTATATCATTTTTAGAACACCACTAAGTACACAGTAATGGGTAAGAACAAAAATCCTAACAAAGGATAAAATACAGATATGACTGTATTAACTGGAGACATTTTCGATTGTCACAACTTAAGGTGGGGGTGCTACTGGCCAGGGATGCTGTTAAGTATCCTACAATGCAAAGGACAGTGTCTCACAACAATTTATGTGGCCCCAAATGCCAATGGAGCCCAGGCTGAGAAACCCTCGACTACAGGAACAAACCTTAGGTCCACAGTCTAAGCCCACAGAGGAGGTGGTACATGAGGGAAAGTGACTCTTGATTCACTCATTCTAACAAAAGGCATTCAAGAATGTGGGGAGGTTGTTACTAGTCATTTGTACCTGTTGACCCAGTAGACATGTAGCCAGACTGTCAAAACAGTTGAGAGAGACCAAGTAGTTATAACCCTTCCCCCCCACCCTTGAGAATGGAAAAGAGAGCTCCTGAAAGACAAGATTGTGACCCTAATTAGGGAGACACATCAGCAGTGGATGCCTTTGCGGGATCTTGAAGGCTGAGGAAGTTTTCTCTTCTGACCAGGGTTGCTGCCTGTGTGACGCCTGTACTGTGTAGCTGGCTTTTTGGGTAGTAAGTTGTATTCTTACTCCATACTGAAGAAGCTCATACAGCCTTTGCTGGGGTAGGTATCTTTCCAAGAATCCTATCACCATCCCACTGTGACAATATGCATTGTCACATGATGGAAAACAGTCCATTTCTTTATACTCTCTGAAGTCTATTCTCATGAAAATGATGTGACTTTCTTCACATTTTCTTTTCTCAACTTCTTTTAAGCTTTTAGGCATATATTATTCTTGCATGATTTATATTTTTTGGTAGTAATTTCATGTGAGTATTTTGCTTACTAGATTCTGGACCAGGGTAAGATCTGTATCTTCATCTCTTTTGAAATCCCCACTACACCTAGTATAATTCTGAGCACAAAGAGTAATTTAGCAGATTTTGAATGAAATAGCCAATAATATGCACATAAATGAAAGCGCATAATAAAATTCACAATAAATATTGTTATGCTGATATTCCATTGGGAAATAAAAGACTGCTTGGACCACTCATAAAAACACATACACCTAACCAATAACATAATTATCTGCAACAATTAAACTCAAAGAACGATTGTAATACGGTATTAAATTAATGAAGTTTTCTGCTTGGTAGATACGTATTGGACTTGGAGAGGAATTACACTTACTCTTTCTTATTTTCTACAAAGCACTCAAGTGAGGCACAGTACTGAGCATTTAAGTCTCTCAGTATCAGTGCACCGATGTGTAGAAATGGATGGATTCTGGTTAAATATTGACTGTGTGCAAAGTCAAAAAGTATTAAGCAAGCTTAATTACTTGTGTTTCTGCTAAATGCCGTGAACAACTCGAGCACTTTAAACAACCCCAGTAGCTGGCTTCAGTGGAGATGTATTCAACCATTGCTTGCAAACAACTAAATATTCAGTGCACCTAAATAGCTATTTTGGGGGGGAATTTTCTCATACTTTCACAAAAGGGATCATTCCCAAATATTAGGAAAACTGTACCTGAACTATGATAACATTAAAAACCCTCACAAAAAAACCAAGAACTTCCTGACCCCAATTTGACAAAAAAGTACCGGCCTCTTAAAAATACCCTACTATCACTTACCTGGGATGAAAAAGTACACACTAGGAAGTCTGCCTGGGAGAGAAAGTGTATATCCAGAATCACACCCCGAAGTGAATTTTCTGTGTATCGATTGTGTAGCCCAGCTGACCAAGAGATAGAATTATCACTAATAAATTCATAACTGGGGTATCTGAAAAAGAAATAAATTTATACATAGTCAATGAAATCAGTCTTCTATCAGGAAGTAGTATCCTATCAGGAGGAGGCAGACCTGCTCCTTTGACCAAGAGTTCTTATCTTTCTAACAGTAAAGAGAACTTTAAAATTATGACATTCAAGAGAGTAGTCAACAAAGTATCTTTGAATCCACAGTGGGAAAGAAACCACTCTGGAGTGCCTGAATGTTAAATGTCATTGGAATGCCACATAAAATACACACCGATACATCAAAATGTCCCTTCTCAATTCATGAAAGAGTTGAAAACAGAAGGCTCCTATTTTCTTTGTATTGAGTGACCTCTAAGAGGTTTTGCAAGCTGCTTTCATATTTGGTCACTGAGCTTTTCCTTTAGAATATAAATATCATGATTAAACTTCATTTAAAATTTTGACTCAGAATTTGCAATAATTCAGGCTTGTCCCCTAACCACCATCCTTGAAGCACTATCTTAATAATTAACGGTAATGCAAAACCATTCTAATACATTTATGAAGGCAAATTTCCTGTAGATGTCCATGCAAGTAACATTTTGGTAGTCTTGAGATAGGATATTTAAAACTATTAAAACAGGATGTCTTTAAAAATCTACCACATGTTCAAATGATTCTACTCTGAATTAGAGGTGTAATTATACTCTAGTAGAGAGAGAATAAATTTTCTCAGTGAATGAGGTAGATCTTCAGAGTTAAAATGCAAACGATGGGAAGTTACATGAAAAGGAAATAATTGTACCTACTTTATATAATTTTATAAGCATTAAATAAACACATTAAGCAATGTGAAGTACTCAGAAGAGTATCTGACATGAAGTAAATGCTCAGTAAATATTGCTTGTGACTGTTAAACACTTTCCCCCAGACTTCCATCTGGTTTCAATCCTTCCTTTAGATCTCTGCTCAGATATAGCTTTATCAGTAAGCACTTTGGCAATTTGTATCCCTTTTACCTGCTTAATTTTTTTTCATGGCTCTTATTATCATTTGACATAATATGTATTTACTGTTTATTTACTGCCTGCGCCCATTCATTTCCCTCCCCCACCATCCCCAACTGAAGAGAGGCATTTCATCTATGTGTTTTTTTCACTCTATAATTCTCATCACCTATAAGAGAATCTGGGATATAACAGAGGATTAGTAGGTATTTGTTGAAAGAATAATAGTTCCTATTTATAAACCCTGAAACATTACCCATCAGTTTATGTGTCTATCTCCACAGTACTCCCCCCAAACTGGGACTAAGCCTAATTCTTCTTTGCATCACAGCATCTAGCATTCCACACAATGCTATGTGAATAAATACATGAACAAGTGAGTGCCATCTATGTCTGGGACTTTGTCCTAATCCCCTAACAGCTGCTTCGGATTTCTCTTCATTTCACAGCCACCACGGAGCTTTCTCTCATTGCCTCTAATAACGACTGTGAATGTAAAGTCTCTGAGCACTGTTTCAGACTGGTGGTCAGTGTTCAGATCCATTTGGCCTCATTATTTTTGACATTTTGCCCTCTTCAGCTCTGAAACAGGGAGATGAAGGAGATGTCACATTTGTTCTAAGAAGAAAACAACCAAAAAGACTTTTAATGTGATTTCTGCAAAGCTGCACACCCAGGCATGGGGCAGAAACAGCAATAAATAAATATGAAAAGGCTGGAGGGTGGAGGAGAGGGGGAATTGCTAAAACACACCAGCAAAGGTTTTATCCTTGAATAAAGACTGATTTTGTCATCATGGTTTGGATGCTCAGTTAAACAAAGAAAAGAGCAATCCGTTTACTGAGAAGGGACCCTAACATTATTGCCCCTCTTAACTTAAAGACCTCTCCCTGGAACTAAACCAAAAGGGCGCCCAAGGTTCCTCAGGCCTTATCTCTATATGCAAAAGACCACTTGATGAAGGGTACTGAGAGTGGGGAAAAAAACAAAGAAACAAGGTGAATTAGGGGAGAGGGAGAGTTTACACCTCCAATAATGAGCATGGAACTTTCCGTACAAACATGTTTCTTTTTTGTCTTTTGTACACAAGTATGTCAGCAAAGCAATTCTTCCACTGTAAAGTTGCAGAGGTTGGTAATGATAAAACGTATTTTTTTCTTCTTCTACCTCATAAAATTTTATTTTTACATCACCCGCACAGGACTACCTTGAAGTTATAAACTAACATCAAATTTTCTTTTCTGAAGTCTATCTCCAGATAGAGGGAGATACCCTCTTTATGACTCAGAAAATTAAAAGTAAAGGATTTTCAAAGAGGAAAAATATGCATAAAAGGCTACTACATTTATAATAGAATATGAAGGAAGCTGCTGCCTGGACTGTTACTAGCTGCTGACGACAAAAAGGATATTCAAGTTTTACTATTCCCATAATCCAAGTGCTACCAACTGTACTACAAGGGTTGCTTGGTATAAAAATACAATGCTGTGTTATGGATCAAAGCTGTAAGAACCTCAGATACTTTTATCTAAATACTTCCAAGTTCAGAAATACAGCTTAAGGACATAATGGGGATAATTTTAGGCACATATCATAGCATTATTTATAAGGTTAAAAAACTGTAATAACCTAACTATTCAATATTAGGAGAATGGTCAAGTAAGCAATGGAGTATCCACACAGTGGCTATGGAGTTATTAAAAAAGATGTTTATAATGGTTTTTTTAGTGACCTGGGAAAATGGGTCTATTGCTGTATTAATAAAAAAAAAAGTTCAAATTACATAGAATATGATAAACTACTAAAATGTGTAGTGACTGAAGAAAAAAATGTCAAAATTTAAACAGTTATTGCCACCGAGTAATGGGATTATGGGCATTACTTTGCCCCTGCTGGTATACTTACCAACTTCCATATTTTCTAATGAGCATGAATTATTTTGTTAATAAAAAAACGAAGAAAGAAAAAAAAGCGTGTAATGCATTCAAGAACAAATAAAAGAGTAGATAAAATTAATTACGTTAGTATTTTTTCAACCAAGTTACAAACTCAGTCTGGTATTTTTAAATGAAGGAGCATGGTGAACAATTTCTACCTCTCTCTAATAAATAGGTCTAGTTATCAAACTGGAAAAGTACTTGTGAAAATTTTTTATTGTGTTTTGTGCCCAAACGTTCATTTAATCCCTCTTATTTAAGAATTACACAACTAGATAAGTTGGCTTATACTTGGCTGGTGAATTTCTTGGTTCTTGTTTTTAAGTGTGTGTGTGTGTATAGTCAATAGAAATTTAAGAAAAAAGCATTTTATATCAGATTAACTTTAATTCTTAGGAGGTAGACATAAGATTTAAATTATTATCCAATGATTTGGAGAAACACCTGCATTATAGTCCTCATTCTAAATTTGTTCTTCTTTCCAACTCCCATTTGTGATATATAAAAGGGACCAAGAAATAAATTAATTAAATAGTCAAATAGCTTCAATGATTAATAAAATGCTTTCTGACTAAAGTAAACATAATTCAGTATTTCCTGGGCACCAGTTACTAGAGCTGGGCACTGTGACTAGATGCTTATAATCCAGTGAGGGAGACAGAACTAAGCAAGTGCTAACACTGACAGGAATGAACAGAGGAAGGACACTCAGTCAAGCATTCAAGGCTGATTTCTGGAATAGATGGTATCTGAGCAGAGCTAAAACTACAGTTTTCTTCTCCCCCATTCCCCACTTTCACATATATTTAATATATCCCTTATTTATCGGTAGTCAATAAAGGCCAACTGTAAGTTCATCCAGATCCTATGATAAGTTCCCAATTAGGATCAGCGCTTTATGTGTTTTCATAACACCTGATGTTAATTCTATAAAAGCATTACTCATTCTGTAGTGATTGTCTGTTCCCCCACTAGACTGGAAATTCCTTGAGAGCAGAGAGTGCCTTGTTTATCACGGATACCCAGCGCTTAGCACAGTGCCTAAAATATAGGCAGGTTCAAGAAATGATGGTTACTCTTCAATACATACTAGTAGTCCTTCTCCTACTTACAAAACTTATCTTTTGATTCTTTACGTTTCTTTAATGTAACTTCCAAATTCCAGAAATTTTTATAAGATGAAAATTTATATCTTACATATGTTTTCAGTTGCCTGTAATTGTTAGTGAAGATATGAGAGCAAAAGGGCAAGAACCTGTGTGTTTTATTGCTAACAGTCCTGTATAGTTGGGTACTGTGATGGACTGAATGTTTGTGTCCCCCCAGAATTTGTGTTTAAGCCCTAACCCCTCAGTGTGATGGTATTTGGAGATAGGGCCTTTGAGAGGTAATCAGGTTAAATAAGGGCATGAGGGTGGGGTTCTCACAATGGAATTAGTGCCTTTACAAGAAGAGAGACACCAGAAAGTTTGCTGTCTCTTCTAAGCACACAAAGGGGTCATATGAGTACAGAGAGAGATGACAGCTGCTACAGGCCAAGAAACAAGGCTTCAGAATGAAATGTATACTTTGCTGGCACCTCACAATTGCTCTGGTGATATTAACATTACACAAGTACACAGTTGCTTGAATTAAAAACCCCCAATAGTCAGTAATAATATTATAACAAGAATCATAAGTCATGGGAATTAAGGATTCCTTTCAACTGAAAAGAGTCCCACTCCCACTCTAGAATCACTATTTCATCTAACTTACTTTGTTTTTGCCTCCTTTAATAATGAAGGGTCATCTGTGGCCAAATATACTCTTTTTTTATCCACTTGCATCCTGCGAGCAAGAAGCTGGAAATGTTCTTCAACATGCACCATGTACTCCTCAATGGGATGGAAGGCAGCTTCTGTTCCCACTTTGTCTGTGCGTCTGACGTGGACTCTGAGGGACAGAGGGACAAAATCAGATTCTGCTGATAATGTTCCAATCCACTGGGTGTTCTTAGGGTACTCAACTTTACAGCCCTATTCATGGTGGCATTATGAACATATATATATTATTGATTTCAAAGGGAAGAAGGGAGAGGGAGAGAGATAGAAACATCAATGATGAGAGAGTCATTGATCGGCTGCCTCCTACATGTCCCTCACTGGGGATCGAGCCCACAACCCAGGCATGTGCCCTGACTAGGAATCAAACATTGATCTCCTGGATCCTACACTGATGCTCAACCACTGAGCCATGCCCAGATGGGCCATTATGAACATTTTAAACAAATTTTTCTTTTATTTTTTGGCCATTAAAAAATTAAATATTTAATAAATTCAAACACACATAACTTAAATATATTTGTATGTTAACACAGTACAAGGGGAATTAAAAAAATAAGTAAAGCCTTTAAAGAATGTTTTCTTATAGAGAAAGTAAACTGGCATATCAGGAATAACTGGGAGAGTTATATTCCATACTAGGCAACAAAATACCAATTAGCCTTCCAGAAAAAACTGGATATAACTTTTAAGATTTTTGACAACAAATGATACCAAGGTTCATGGTTGTTATTACAGAACATTAAATACACTGTTTGAAACGTTTTTGTGCCAAGTTTTCTTTTTCTTCATTTTACCCTGTTGGTCTCTCTGTAACTGGAACCGTGCAGAATTTAAAGTTGCCTGAAGAAACCACAGGCCTTGCATGCATTACTCCTGCAGCCCAGTCAAAGCAGACAAACCTTTTAAGGGTTCTTAGTATTTTTATGTTCGTGGAGCCATTCCAGCCCTTTTGTTGTATGCATAATGAATTTCCTTTCTCTGTTTTTCACACTCTATCAAACACAAGCAGATACTGACCTATCTTATCTGTCCTATTTAAGAAAAGCTCCAGAATTGTAAAATTGGGGACACAGAGGTTTATACCATCCTGCACTAAAGAAAGCACCAACTTCCACAGTATTCTCCTCCCATCTTAGTGCTTTCAAAGTGATATTAATGAAAATAAGACAATAGTAATCATAGCTTTTTTTCATAAATTACAACTCTCTTAAAATTTGTGTTTTCTGTATCCCTCCTCTCCCCAAATTACTACACCGCTATTCATATGTGGGAAAAGGCAAAAGGGAGACCTGTTTCCTTTTGGGTCAAGCAAAGGCCAGCTTTTATCGTGAATCTGGAGAGGGGGTTTGATTTCATTGACATTACTCTGGCATCTTCATGGCTAATCTTTCCTCTTTGCATTTCAGACTATAGTCCAGACATGAATACTATTATATGAACACTTCTATCATCTTTTCCTTCCCACATCCTTCTTAATCACTGCTTCTCTCAGGAAATTGGAATTGTTCACTGTGCTCCAAAGAGATGAAGAGGGACAAATAAGAACAATTCCACTGGATTTCAGTGAAAATGTTCATGGGAAGAAACACTATTTGATAGTCTGATTTCACCTTGTACTTTCTTTAGCTTTAACATTCGGAATAGGGGTCAGTAACTTCTATACATATGAAGACTAAGACACAAGGGCAGAAGGAGGGGTGGGAGCCATGAAAATAAAAACGAAAACAAAGGAGAGATATAACAGAAAGAAGAATCAAAGGAAAAGAAGCGCCAGTGACAGTGACAGAGAACTACACTAGCAATTGTCTCAATTCTCCGAGTGCTCCTGAAATTAGGACTGCATCAATAATCTGACGAAGGACCACAATGAAATCTCCATGGAAAAATCAGAATGTTAGACCTGTGAAGGATAGTAGAAGTCATTACATTTAATGTAACTCACCTGACAGTTAAGGAAACTGATGCTCAGGAAGACATTTCAGTGAGCAAAGACAACATAAAGCACTTCAACCCAGTCTTCGTAAAAGTTATTTGTGCACCAGACTGATTTTCACTATTAGGTAATATGCTCTTTTGGTCAAGGACTCGGATTTTATTTATTCACAATTACACCAAACAAAATGAATGAATGAATGAATGATAGGAAGACACAAAAATCTAACTTTAGTTTTATGTTAGAAACCTTAAATACCATCTAACCTATTGTTTTGTTTATAACAAATGAGGAAAGGGTGACAATTAATGAGGGCTCATAATGAGCAAGTAAGTTGCCCAAAGTCACATAACTTGCCAGTGGTGGACGCTAGATGGGCCCCCCAGATTCCTAAATCCTAGTGCACTACTCTTTCATTACAGCACACTCACTGTGCAAATAACTTATTTGTCTGTGCTATTTCAATTTTCTATACTTGGCCAACTCTCCATACGGTGGATGGTCCATGGAAAATTAATAAGGGTTGCTTTCTGGCATGTAACCCTACAGAATATCCAAAGTTAAGAAGGTCCTGGAACTCTGGGCAGAGATTTGCTTTCCTTAGTTTCCTCACCTGTAAAATAATTATCTCTGCCCACTTCACAGGATTGTGTTATAGGATCAATGAGATAATGTAGTTGAAGGTATTTTGGTAATTTAAATACTATACTGTTATCTTTCCCCAGCTTTCAGGATCCTGTTCAAACACTGCAGCTGTGAAGCCTTTCCTGGTCCAGATGGAAGTACATTTCCCCTTCCCTGACCTCTTATAATACTTTTACTGCATCTCTCATGGTATTTATCATGTTCTACCCATATAATGTTAGTTATGTAAGTCTCTTATCTCACAGGCTAAAATGAGTTGGAAGGAGCCATTTGAAAAAAATTAATCTCTGTCCCCCCACAATAGCAGGTATTCAATACGTGTTTTGCAAATAAGTGAATGAATCAGCAATGTATTAATATTAATGAATAGTTTATCACAAACAGTGTAAGTTACAAAATACCATAGTCTAGTCTACAAGTCTATTTTCAGGAATTATTTAAGCATCAGTCTCTCTGAAAGGTGATAATATTTTACAGTGCATTTCCCCCCACAGAACTAAAATCCTCTTTTAATCCTAATATTATCAAATCATCATTTTTAGGGAAAGTATTACCTACTCTGTTTTACAGATGGAAAAATCAAAGCCCAATACTATTATTAGGTAACTTGGCCCAGAAATAGGAAAAAGTCAGGAATATTACCCAAGTCACCCAACTCTCAGTCCAGTATTCTTTCCATTAGGCAAATAACATTTCCTGTGGTGTGAAATCTGTCATCAGGACCCAGGAAAACTCCTTTTCCATGACTTTTTATGTACAAAGTAATTATGAGCAAAAATGTTCTTTCGGATATTTCTTGCTCCCAGGATTTCCTGATATCTCCCTTAACATAAGCACCAGACTGAATACGTATGTACACTGCAACTCCCAAGTGGGTCAAGAGATCATTTTAAATAATAATTTTAACATTACCTCACAGTACAAATGATATCCTTATTCTCAAAATAGCTCCCAGGACATAAAAGGAAACAGAGCACCAAAAAAAGCAAAATAATTGCCAGTGGCAATTAATGAATCCTAAGAATAAGGCGCAATCAGAAAGGTGTAAATGTGGCAGCTTCATCTTACGGCCCTGTTAGGTAAGGCAGGACCATGTATAATACACGAAATACTCCCATAAAACAGCATCTCGCTTGTTTCCCCAGGGGAGACAGCTAATTTCAGAAATACTGGCTTAAAACATTTGTCGAATAAATAAACAAGGGTGACAAAGTACAATGACTCAGCCATTCCAAGTAAAGGAAGGAAGAATGATCTCCCTGTAGTCTAAGGTGAACTTCAGAACCTGTTTTCGAGCAGAGCTATGAAAATTAAACTATATATGGTATAAAGTTCACAGTATATTGTAAAGATATATATCCCTGCTACTCCATATCACTTTACAAGGAACAAATCGGATTCTTACCCAATAACTGGGTGTTTGAAGCCAAGCTTCTTGGTGGCCTCTTCTATTTCCTTTTCCAGCCAAGGTTGTGGGCGGATCAAGTATTTGACAAACTGAGACACCCACCATACTGCAGGATCACCATGGACTCGAACAAGTCGATCTGCAAGGTCTTCTGGCACAGCCAGGGGTAAATAGGGAGGGCGGGGATGAAGACTGTCTACAATGGGGAGCTCTACCACCTGGACATTTCTGTCCTTTGTTTCACCTGAAAGAACATCAAAACATTATCATCACACAGCACTCCATTGCTCGAACAACTACCATCTAACAAGAACTCACTCTGGGTGCCTTTGTCTTCAAAGCAACTCTAGACAAGCATTATAATTTTCACTTTACATAGGAAGTGAAGTAACTTGTCCAAGGTGTTAGTGCAAAAGTGGCAGAACTCAAGTGCACAGCTGGGTTGGTGTGCCTCTCAAGTCCATAGCCTTTTCTTTTCTATCACAATATGCTGCCAAATCAATACCTCCATCCCAGGTAAGAACAGTATCCAGCACTCAAAGCACCTAATCAGAGAATAACCATATTGCCAGCAGACACAGCCAGCTAGGCCAAGTTCTGTTTTTTGAAATTGTTGCTGTTGGTTCTTTTAATTAGGTATAAAGTGTTCTCAAAACTTGCAGCTTGTCATTATAGCAAATGGCTCTTGTATTACTTTCATGACAGAGCAAATGACTCTAGAGATACCTAAAGATTACGATTATAAGCCAAGCATATATATCTTTTTAAGAAAAATATTTAGATGGTTCTAAAGTCTTTTTATCCCTTGGCCAAAATAGGCCTATTATATTCTCAATTATGATGATAATAGAATCTGTGATTACCTGGATAACAATTTAAAGTTACAACAAAGATTAGATGCTAATTTTTGTAGATGATGATTAGTTTCAGAATCCAAATTCTATATGTCACTAATGTTACTGTTCTATAAATTTTATAATGCAATGAGAAGAACCAAAATGTAATAGCCAGCATCCCTAAACTTTACATATTCAAGACCACATAGTAATACTAGAAGATACAAAGATAATAGGCAGAGAGATTTCACAAACATAAAATGTACTGAATTAAATTTTCAATAACAGAAAATATTAACATGAACATATAACTCAAGTTAAGATGTTGCCATTGCGCATAATGAATCAGAATCACAGCTAATCACTAAACCATTTAAGAAAAATGTACTTGTAGAGATTAAACGTAGGATACATTTAAAATGTATTCACTAGAATGAAACACAGTCCTCAAATTCTGTTTTTCTGCACATTTGTAAAATGTTTTAAAATAAATTACATGATCTGAGAATGTAATCACTCAAATCAACTGCATAGTTATTAGAAAGTCAGTGGTATAACTAAGAATTTAAAGTGTCTGGCTAATATTCTCATTTCAGGGTTCTTAGCACAAAGCCCTTAAAACATGACATTTGTTACATGAAAAAGTAATAAAGAAGCTTTCCACCAGTATGGCAGTTCATTTAGGGTGCTAGTTAAGGGTTGGGCACCTTTATCATATGTGAAATTGTAATTAAGAGTGTGTGGGGAAAGAGTAAGCTACATTTTCAATTAAACTCTAATAGTATCCCTAAGGCCAAAAAAATTGGGGTGCTTTCCCTGATGTGGAGATAAGTAGTACACAAATCAGAGAGAGAAGAAGAAAGGAAGGAAGGAAAGAAGGGAGGGAGGGAGGGAGGGAGAGGGGGGGAGAGAGAGAGAGAGAGAGAGAGAGAGGAGAGAGAGAGAGAGAAAGTAAGTTCCTTTTTATAAAAAACAAAAAAGAGAAAGTATTCTCTGACTGCCCCAGGTATCATCTCCTTACATCCTATGCCTATATCTTCAAGACAGAGAACTCAGTTTATTTTTGCTGATTCTTTGTCCATTCAGTCATTCATTCAAATACTTACTGAACACTACTATGTGCTAAACACTGTACTAGGCAGAGTAGACAGTGATGATTAGTTCTTGTCTCCATGATTTTTTGCTCAAAAACCTCATCCAGAACTAGACTGCCCTCAGTGAAAGAAAAATAAAACACCACCACCAACAAACACACTATCAAAAAGATATGAATCCACTGCTTAATAAAATATTAATAAAAGGGTATTTATATTTATGAATAAAAATATTGGCACAGTATAAAAGTTTAGCTTCCTCAATAATGATATACTTCAAAATGAAAGAAAAATAACATAGTATGTGCTATGTTAGAAGGTCCCTTCTTTTACTTAGTTTACCACATATTCTACTGGCATATACATCCAAAACAACTTAAACTGGAGATGGATCTGAGAGAGAATCTTATTCAGTGCTTCCTAAATTTTAGTCATTTACGTACCACTTTTATAATTGTTACAATATCCATGTATCATCTGTACTATTTAATGTTTCAAAAATTCACTTTTTAAAATTTAAATAAATTTATTTTATAGATGATAACTACAAATATAACTTTACTGAAAACAAAACCATGTTATTAAATTCTCTATAGACACTATTGCTTATTAAAAGGCTCTGAGCTCAAGCCAGGCTTCTATTTAAAAAGGAGATTATTAGTGAGGTTTTAAGGGGTGATAATTGCTTTTCCCCTTACATCTCTTTTAAGTTCAAACCTAAACGAGAAACAAGAAAAGGAATAAGCCCGGCCGGCGTGGCTTGGCAGTTGAGCATCAACCTATGACCCAGGAGATTGGGGTTCAATTCCCGGTCAGGGCACAGGCCTGGGTTGTGGGCTCAGTCCCCTGGGATTGCGCAGGAGGCAGCCGATCAATGACTCCCTCTCATCGCTGATGTTTCTCTCTCTCTCCCTCTCCTTTCCTCGCTCTGAAATCAATAAAATATATTTTAAAAAAAGAAGAGGAATAAAATGGCAATCCAAATGTATCAGCCTGATTACCAACAGGATGAATTAGAGAATGTGGGGTTTTTGTTTGTTTTTTGTTTTATTTTTGATTTACGGTCCCATGGGTTTCCTAATAGTTCCCAGCAAGTCCTAAGCAGAGTCTGTCAACCAAGACCTACTACACGGTGGTGGAGGAGGAACATGTGCTCTGAGAATGGGCTACACCATGAGAGAAGCCCGAGAGGGCTGTGCCCCTCTGCCCATACTCACCAGCTGTATAACATGTTACTTTTACGGCAAGCGGAAGAAAAATGAGGTAGACAGAAAGAGCAAACAAGCACTTCTGCACTTTGCCCTTCTAAGAAATGGAATTTATTTCCATTGCATGGAAACTCTTGAGGAATGAAGGACTTACAGTGCCTGCCCCCACCCACCTCCACCCCCATCCCTCAAACAATTATCCAATGTTAAAGAACTATTAAAGATCTTTTTAAAAAAAATACATATTTTTATTGGTTTTTAGAGAGGAAGGGAGAGGGAAAGATAGAAACCTCAATGAGAGAGAAACATCAATCAGCTGCCTCCTGCACGTCCCCTACTGGGGATCAAGCTCACAACCTGGGCATGTGCCGGGACCAGGAACTGAACTGGAGACCTCTTGGTGCACGATCCAGGGATCAGCCAACTGAACAACACTGGCCTGGCTATTAAAGATATCTTGATACCAAATTGAGGTTTTGTCTTTGACAATATCAGAAAGACTGAAAAAGGGATAACCTTCTCAACTATATGAGTCAATATTTATTTTGTGATCCTGTGTTTATCAGGAAACTGCCTGAAATTATCTCATATGCCACCTAAAATCATATCTAGTAATTTGTTTTAAGTTTCAGAGTTTGGAAAACACAGGTTTATTTAAACTCCCTCATTTTACAGAGGAAACAGACTAACAGAGGTTAAGTGAACTTCTCAAAGACAGTAGCACTAATAAAGGGACTAGGATTAGACTCTAGTGTTAACTTCATATTGTATATATTTAAAAAATAACTTAAGTATGGCCCCTTTGATCAATCAATAGTGCCCTACATTCTCTTAAGACTTTAGTGTTGTAAAAACAATGTACTACATCAACCTTCCAACAAGAGAATGCTTTATATGTATAAGTTATACATAAGTAAGTAAAAACACTATTCATTTGTAAAGAATCAGTGCAAAGTAGCCTGGGCATTACACAACTGACTGCCCCGTTCAACTGTAATTGATATAGTCATTAATTTTCAAGACTACCTCCTCTTGTTGATAATCCTGTTTTATAAGGTGATTTCTCTTTGCTAAGGGCAGGTAAGACTCAAAAGTCTTGTTAGTACACAAAGAGCTCTCTTCCAGGGGCACAGACAGCTCTTTAGAAGGAAGGATTCCCACAGCTGCATGCAAGTACCTCTATAGAAGCTCTCTTCCCTCCTAGCCAATTCCTAACAGCCCCATTTAAAAAGCATTATTCTGTCATCATTCCATGTGACATAACACAGAGATACTAGCCCTAGAGCTAGTCAATTACAGTTATTACTCTTCAGTAAACTCAATAGAAAGGGCTTGAGAAGCTCAACATCCACCATGAATGAATAGGTTCTGCTATAACAAAACATGCTTCAAAGGTAGAAAAAATTTTGGCTCCCAGTCCATGAGATTTCTTCTGCATTTACTGTCTTCTTTTTTAAGCTGCTATTAAGCAACTGTTATCACTCTGGTTTGTAAGAGAAGAAGAACTCAGGAGGGGGAACTCTCCTGAAGACAGAACTTATAGAGTTCAGAATGGTTAAGGCAAAGAGGTTTGGAATACGGTTGCCAGTTGAAAAAAATCTCCAATTAAGACATCACTACTTAGAACTTAAATTTCACTTGGGGGGAGGAGAGAATTATTAGTAACTTTTTAGAGACTATGAAACCAGAAAAGCTGTCTGCTTTCTGAACTCAAGCCTCTTAAAGAGGTTTCCCTCAATTCTCCATAGGTCCAGACTTCCCCCAAATAGGGGGAGAGGGGTAGAATGAAGTTTTAATTCCCTTCCTAAGGGTTGCCTTGAATGGTTATAGTTGCTAGGTGCCATCACACCCAACAGCCATTCCAAGGACTATGCTAACTGCTGAGAATCATGGCCCTATTTGATGCTGGAGCAGGGAGAGACAGCAAACAAAATATAATAAGGCAAAATGCTTATTCATGTAGTGCCTTCAATGTAGGACACAGGGATTAAGAGTATGGACTTAGGAACCACAAAAGCTGGCGTTGAAATCCTCTCTATCACTAACAGTTGTGTGACCTTGAATAGGTTATATTTAACTTCCCACCAATTTCTTCATCTGGAAAAC